CCGAATACCGCACTGCAAATCAAGGAAAAGAAAGTAAAATAAAATAAAATACAATACCACCCCCCATGACCACAGCTCCCATCAGCCAGTGACATCTCCAGGGCAAATGCAGACCTTAACTTAACGTGACTCCAACCGAGGGTGGACGCAGCGAGGCACAGACAGCTGAACGGAGATGGGGCTACAGCGTCCCCGTCCTGTCCCCGGGAAGGGACAGGATGCCCCTGCCCGCACTGGAAGGCGAGAAGCAGCTGTAACTGCTCTCCCTGCCCGCACCGGTGCCGGGGCAGGCAGGGGAAGAGCAGCCAGCAGAGACTACCGGGGGGAACAAGCCGCTCCTGAATTCCTGTGTCCATCAGACGCAGAAACAGCGTGGAGGCGTCCTGCCCGGAGCAGCTTACCAACAGCTTCAGCACCCCGTAAGGAAAACCCTGAATAATTTTGAGCTATGGCAATCCAACAGATCGGCCATAAGGAGGAGCTCCATTTTGGTATTTTGCTTTCCTCTTCTCCGACTTGAAAACAGAAATATCAAAACCAGCCACATGCTAACACAAGCTAGCAAACAAAAGACAATGGAAGTTCATTCTGTACTTAAATAAGAGCATTTTAAGCCAAGGACAAATTTTAGGGTTAGGAACTGAACTCTGGAAATCCAGCTTTTCAGAGGAATGTTGCAAGATCCTGATGCACAGCAGCGGAGGATGCTCCTAGATTTCTTCCCAATGCTTGGTCACTATGGAACATCTCCTACTTCCTCATGGAGAGCTGAGCAACGGGGCATGCAGAACATGAGAAATCCATTTTTCCTCCAGCGTGCAGAAGAGAGGGCAGTGATCCCTGAAGGGAACAGAACGTGCCCTTTGCTACCGACTCCCATGAAGAATTTCCCAGGGAGCTGCATCATGAAGGAGACCAAGTTCATCCACGCTGCCACCCCAGGGATGCGGTTCTGGACGCGGTACCCGAGCCGCCGCTTCCAGGGGATTCTCTGTGCTTGCAGCAAAGCTTTACAAGCCAACACACAAAGCGTTTGGCCAAGGGGCCAGATTCTGCTCCGAGCTGTTGTATTTACACAGCGTGTACTAACCGCCCGAAGTCCCCAAACATTGTCCCACCAAAATACCTCAACTCTGAAACCGATGGAGTTACCCCAACTGAGCCCAAGCGTGCCATTAGGAACAGGAGCAATGAGCCCTGACTCACAGAGCATCCCTAAATGTTCTACAGCTGCTCGAACACAAACACATGCTGATTTTTTCAGATGAGGGGAAAAAAATAATCTTCCGGTCAGCCTCTTGGGTAGTTCCAAACCTACCCAAGCGTCCTGCAAGGAAAACAGCGCTCCTCTTACTCCACAAACGAGAGCTGCTGACCATCGGGCAATTAAAACCGGCCCAGTACAGCGCAGGCAGCGCTCTGTGCTCGCCCATGGCGACTTGTTGGCCAGTGCCCCCGGAGGCTTCCTGGGCGCTGTGGGGATTCAGAAATACTGACCCGTTTCACAAAGGCCATTTTTCACACCCTGCCATGGGTTTTCCACTTGACAGCAGTAAATGGCATGAACTTCTAAAAATAACTTTCTATATTTAGTTGTGCTTTACAAATCTCTTGCAAAGGAATTTACTGGATGTCTAATACTTCTGTTAAATATTTATCTTCTCTAGTCTGTCCTTTATTGATAGAGCCTTTCACCATCGCAGCCAACCTCGCACAGGCTTCAGCGAGAAGAGCAGGGCTGTGGCTCAAGTACAAATTCATTTTTCAGTAACTCTCCCTCCCAAGAAGCCTTTTGCTTTGCAAGCTGGTTATCTGCCCTCCGCACCGTTGCCTTAACTCACACACCGCCCTCCCACTTTTCCCTACGCCTGGCTTCTGTTTCCCATCCCAGCCCTAACTTTTCGTTCTCATAAACTCCCCTCCTTGCCCAGGCAACCTCGCGCCAAGTGCACAAACTTGCCCGACAGGCTTACTGTCTTTATTTACTGTTTAATTCAAAACAAGGCCACCACAGCAATTTCTCGCGTTTACCGTATCTTCCTCACGCTTGCCTCCTCCCCGGCGCTGACCGAAGGAAGCCGGCTGCCCCGTACCCGCCACACGTCGAGAGCTGGCAAGCCCCCTCGCGCCGGGTCACAGAGCAGGGAGGCTCAGGCTGTTGTGGCTGCCACGAGCGGGAGGCGACCGCAGGTCTCCCCACCTACAGCTCAGAGGTTCGGCAACCTATCAGCTCAAAAACCAGGACAAGAGGCAAGCACGCAAGGTTGGAAGGGCAACCAGGTTTTGGGGTATCTTGGTCTGGTTTAGAGAAAACTGTAAGCGAGCGCGTGGGTTCCTGAGCACTGCGCTCCTGCCCTACCCCTGACCAAGCCAGCACCCGGTGTCCAGCGCAACTGCTCTTCCCTAGACCTTCACAGCGACGGATCCTGTTCATCAGGAGGACGAGCACGCAGCAAAGCCACGTTTTAAAGCAAAGACAAGGCGCAGACCGTTCTCCCAGGGGCTTGCAGTGGTTTCCCAGAGCGCGGCCCTTGAGGCTGGACTTTCAATGTTTTTAGAAAGGACAGTGCACAGATTCATTTTGCACGATTGTTGCTTCTGAAGTACCAGGCCAGCCATGACCATGGGTTCCCACAAAGTGCAGGGCCCTTTGGCACGGCCTCCTCCCCGCCGGCCAGGCAGGGACAGGACACCCACGGACACCCGCACCACCAAACCACCGCAGGCGTCAGGACTTCACCTAATGCTCCTCATGCTGAGAGCGGCAGAACTACATTGAGTGCTTGAACTCCTCAGAGGACAGCTTTTCACCCCTGGCGTTTTTCTGGCCTTTCCAACCGATCTCGCAGCCCTGCAAAGCTGGAGGAGTTCCTTCAGCGAAACTGGAAAAGGACGCGAGGCAGCCGGCTCAGAACACGTGGCTGACTGAAATGCAAGTTAAAAAAAGACCAGCAGTCATAGAAATAAGCAAAAGTGTTGAAATGCACATTAAGAAATACTACAGCTATAATTTGTCTCACTCATACATGTCACGACAGCCATCCAGTATGTCAGAGGGGAACTGACACGGTTTTCTCCACGACTTTTAACCCCAGGTTTACAGGCGAGTTGCATTAAGAAGAGCTCCCGCTGCCCCAGAAGACCACAAGGGCTGGCAAAGACCCCCCTGCCGGCAGCGTGGCTGCAGCCAGCCCGTCTCATACGTTATTTCACCCCAAACTCTCCCAACAGGAACGCCTTCGCTCACGATTCAGCTCCCGGCAAAGCCTGACCACATAGGGAATTGCTATGTTTTGTATTCCAGCTGAGTTAAGGCAAAGCAGGGGAAAACATGGTTCAGGAAGGCCCCCTCACCTCCGCACCCAAGGGTGCCGGGAAGCGACGCCTGCGAGCACCGGGCTGGGCACCGCTCTAGGACTGGGGTGAGCAGACTGCGGTCGAGCTCTGCGCCTCGCTGATACAGACGGGCACCACGCAGCACGTGTCCAAGGTAAGACTCAATTTAATCACTCAGACGAGCTCCGACAGGGATCACTATTTTTTGAGCAAATGCTCAAAGGGTCACAGATGCTGAGAAGATTCACCGAGGAGGAAATGCCGCCGCAGCCCTTTGGTCCACCATGGACCAAAACCCAACCGCGGGGGCTGGCTGCTGCTACACCTGCACGAATTTCAGACCGCCCGGTGTCCAAATCCGACCGTCACTACAACAGCTAATTGCTCAGCACAGCCCTGGAGGACACGACGGAGAGCCTGCTGAGAGCCGTAGCGAGGGGGACGCTGCCCGGCTCCGCAGGCACCAGCGCCGCAGACAAAGGTGGTGCCGGCGTTCCTGCGCTGGGGCGGTCAGCAGCCCCCAAACCCGTTATGGGAGGGCTCTGAGGGTGGCAGCACGCGGCTGCTTTCCTTGCAAACCGCAAAGGCAGAGGCTGCTGGACGCCTGCCCTCTGCAGCAGAGCACGCCGAGCATGCCGATGGGCACGGGGACAGCGGTGCCAGGTGAGCCGCGGCTGCGGAGCTGGCGCCGCTGCGGGGACCAGGGCTGTAATTCAAGCAGGCGGCCGGACGGAAGCAGGGGGAGGCTGGCAGGTGGCTCTGCCCGCTGCACCTATTTGTATCGCCATCCCATGGAGGCCAGTCGCCTTTTCCAACAGCCTTCCCCAACCCTGGGGAGGGAGCTTAGGGATGTTGAGTAAAGGACAGACTCTCTGAAAAATAAAAACACCAAAAAGCTGAGCCACGGAAAGCAAATTCATCTCTCTCCTCCCTTGGGAGGAGGGGGCTGCCGCGGAGGGGCTGAGCAGCCCACCTCCCGGGGGCATTGGGAGAACCTCGTGCAGGGTGGCTGGGCAGCAATGACGGGGCAGAGCTGCGCAAACCCTCGCGGCGCTCCAGGCCCGACTCCGAGCTGCCCGGCTCCCAGAGCAGCCGAGCAAGCTTTTGGCACGGCTGCTTTGGCGTAAGCGGCGGGAGAGGGTGTGCTCCAAGAGCCGCGGCTCCCTGCTGTACAAGCAGTACGAACACAGGGAAAACAAACACGAAAACAACAGACTCTTATCCGGGGCAGAGCATTAGCAATCCCCACAGAGATATCTTATGATCTGCAGAGCCATCAGACGCATCTCATTTCAGCCTTCCAGCAGCCACCCTTCCCAGGCAGGGGCAAGGCGAGTGAAAACCAAGCACTTTTGCAGGCGGCTTCAGCGAGCGAGCGGAGCCAGCGGCTCGCTCCCCCGGCACGCGATGATTTCAGAGTTTCCTTCGATAAGGGCACGGAGAAGGCCAGGCAGGAGGCCAG